GTCAAGTAGAACGTGAGCGTCCAATCAGCGCTAAAGCCTGGCAGTTCCACTTGGTTGGTTTTCTGATGTTGTTTTATTTGCTAGGCTGCTTGCATGAGGTTTGAGGCTAGAAAATATGTGATGATATCTCGCGAAAAAAGTGAATTCGGGATGGGCGGATATGTACGTTTGACGCTGGGCGGAAGGCATTAAATTTTGCTTTAGGCTGGGCGGTAGACTTTTAGGCAGGGCGGCCACGCCCGGCTCCGCCCTGCACAATTACATCCCTGCGTACCATCCAGCAAAATAGGCTAGACTTAGCCCCCTAGCCTCGCCAAGGCTATTCCAGCCTTATTTGCTCATAAAAAAAATATTGTTCGTTGTCAAAAAAAAAAGCTAAAATGCCGGTACTTAATTTTGTAAAAATTTGGGTCAGTTGGGCGTGGCCAATGCAATAATTTTTTTTTTCTTGGCCTAATGTGAATTGTGGAGGTTTTAACTTAGGGTTAATAATTGCCTATCCTCAGTCTCCTAAAAAGTGCATACAAATAATGTATTCTAAAGATATGCTTGTGAATCAGGGTCATACTGTAAATTAAAAGAGCACTGTAAATTGTTCCTCAAGTTTGCTTAAAGTGGACCTTTTCATTAAGCCCTGCCCTTTATATATTGGTGCTAAGATCCCACAAGAAGATTGCGTTAAAATGTATGTAGAACAACACTTTCTGATTGGTCGGTGGTTTTACAGTCTTCACAGGTCCATTACAGCAGGACACAGATACTGAAAATAGGACAGTGCTGTAAAAAGGGAACATTTCAAATCCTACATTTAACAAGTCAACCCAGTATAGATTTTAATATGTGGAAAATCATGGGATCAGGATGTTTACATTTTTAATACCAGAAGGATGACTGCAGTGCATTTTTTCTTTATAGGATGATGATGAAAGTGGTCCAGAAGTTGTAATGTCTGGAAGCAAAAGAAGACGAGTGAATTCTGGGTACAATAAAGTATCAAGTGAAACACATAGATCAAGGTATGAATGTTTTTCTTTTCAAAATTTTGCTTACAAATCACAATGATGCTACCCATTGAAAAGAAATGGTGAATAATAGTGAAAATAGTTAGAAAACGCTGATAAATATCCTGGGGATCTTCAAGGCCTCTGGCTTTGCTAGTGCAAGCTCATAGTCTGTTACACCGCTGAATGCCGCATCAACAGAAAATGCTCTGTCAACCATAATATTTAAATCGACTACTGTTGTAGTTTGAAGAACAAATGTGCTGGTTTGCTACATTAGACCGAAAATGAACTAAATATAATACTAAATAATGATGATTTCAAATAAAAATAACATTTTATTTAAGCATATCCACCGCCATGAAAAAATGGAAATTTAAGAAAAAAATAAAAATTTTTCTTGATTTTTATTACACCCTCCTCTGACAATCTTTAAAAAATATATTCATGAAACATGGCATAAAAAATTCTCGCCCAAGTACCCTGTCCTAGGTGAAATTGTAATTTTAACTTTCGTGATGTATAATGGGGTATTTATCAATCAGTAAATTGTTCCATTTATACAAAAAAAAATCAAGTAGTGACTTTCAACTGTCAAGTGAAGGTGGATGTTTAATGTTCAAAAGGAAGTTTCAATAGCGCTTTGGTCTGCTAGTGACAGAAAGCCCCAATCTCTCCAGTATGTCTGGTACTCTGATATGTCCAGAAATGTTTGTTAGCTAAATCTTAGTTCTCACCTGTTCTCTTTGATGTTTAGTCAGTAATACAGTATACTTTGGAGCGGAACCATTTAGGCAGTGGTAAACAAGCAGCAGGTCTTAAATTGCATGCATGCTTCTACGAGTTCAAGTCAATGCCGTTGTTAGAGTAAAAAATATAATAAATTAAAATTTAAAATATAATTCTATTTTTTAGAAAATTCTCTAAGTCCCGTGGTGTCAGTCATGATTTAGAGTCAGAAGAGGTCTTTCAAAATAGTCCCAAATTTACCAGAAGGAGTTGGCAGTTAAGATCACGTCAATTAAATGGTGGTGTGAAAGGTGAAGAAGATGATGAAGACCATGATGACACAGTGCAGATACGCAGAAGTGGCCGCAGCCGTCGTCAAGTTTATAATACCATGAATACAAAGCTCCTTGGTAAGGCTGTCCTTTATTTCATGCTTAACACTTTAATGTGTCTCTAATCATTCCTGAAAGAAATGTTTGTGCCTCCAACCATGAAATATAGCCCAACAGTTTATTTTTTTTAATTATTTGCCCCAAAAATGTCTCCAGCACATTCATGATGCCTCTGGTCGCACACTCTTTTCTGCCCTGCTCATAATATTGCTTGGTAATTTAATGGCTAATGACTAGTAAACTAATGCCCTGCGATTCAAGCTTTTTCATACATGGGTGACCACTTTTTGCAGGTTAGCTAACTTGGTGGCCCAATTTTATTTGTTATTTTGTTCACATGTTCCTCTATTGTATAGATCTTAGTATTGAGTTGAGTAGGTTGTAGGAAGTAGAGTCTAGTACTGTCTGAGTTTCCTTTTAATAAATTTATTTCATAGCATCTGGATGATAAAGTACAAGGCGTACCTACCAGGATTAATGTAAGAGCTGAGGTACTTGATGAAATTTTCAGATTAAACATGAAAAAGCCATTAAAAAAAATTAATTAAATATGAGACTGCCATGCCAGAAGGTGATAAAACTGTCTTCCAAACATGTGTTAACTTTCTCTATCTCTTCCCTGTCTATAAATAATAAAACCATATATTTTATGTAAGAAAATGTATTAAGCAGGCCTGGAAAATAATGTTTTGTGCTTCCGCCCTTGAAAGATGTCTCGATAGAATGTCTCCATCACCAAATGTTGTCTGTACACCATATAGCCCAACAGCTTATTTAAAAAAAAATTTTTTCCCCAAATTGCCTCCAGGACATTCCTGTTGCCTCTGGTCGTGCGGTCGTTCACTTTTTCCAGCCCTGTTAATATTAAGTATTGATATTTATTGTTATATCTTTATACAGGGGACTTAATGATGAGTGGAGGAATAAACTTAGCTACAGGACCAACAGAAAAAAATGCAGAGAATAAAGAAGATAAATCAGAAGAAGAGGAGGAGACGGAAGGAGAAGAGGTAGAAGGTGAGGAGGAGGATGAGGATGCCAATCATGCAGCAGATGATGGCAGTGAGGAAGATGAGGTAACATTTCTTTTCTCACTGCCAAAATCACAAATTCTTTTCTTCTTTTAGATGGTGAAAACCATAGAATGAAAATTTGTTATTTCCAATTGACGTACCTAAAGGTATAAAGTTATATAGTATATATAGTTTTATAGGTATAAAGTTTTTACATAAATCCTTGAATTGTTTGGTAATTAACTAAATCAACAGAAACTAATTTGTTTTTATCTGTGTACCATTGGAAGTTTAATAACCCATTTGTTTCACACATGTGAGGTCTCACCACAAAAAGAATCTCATAGTTAGAAAATCAAAAATTGAGTTAATAATACAATGAATAGATCACATATAATCTTTGATTTGGTCTTTGAATGGCTTCCCCAGAACAAGTAGATCCAGAGATGTGAGCATTTAAGGTTTAGGTGTATGAGAACCACGTTTTGAGAAAATTGAACTTCAAAAATAAACTAACTGTATATGTAATAGGACTAGAATTACAACATATATGTAGAAAACACTGTTTTAGCAAGAAAATTCACTTAAGAAGTATACAATCATAAAATAAAAGTATCAAGTTATTCAAAAATATTAAAATCAAAATTTTGTAAAAATTTTGACTTTGACCTATTTCAGAAAATATCTCAATATGATTTCACCAACGATGCGTCATATTTCGTGGTGAGACCTCATATATTTTTATGACGAATGGTGTATTTTTTAACTAAAAATTTATGAATAGAATAATTGCTACGTTTGAAATTAATAGGAATTGGAGAGTATGGATATGTATTCTCGAGTAAAGAGACGTCACATACTTGCGAAGAAGAAACGAGATGCTCTAGAAAAAGAAACAGAATCTTCCGATGAGAGCTCAGAGGATAGTGACGGTAGATATTAAGTCAATTCATTAACCTTTCTGCCCTCTTTTAAAATAGTAGAATACTGTCTGACCTGAAAAATTATATAAAAATATATTGGACTACTGTAGAAAAAAATATTAACTTGATTTTTGTATTTGAAAAATTATATCTTGTAAAATTTATGCTTCTTAAGACTCTTCAGAAGATAGTGAAGAAGATGATGATGATGATGAAGACAATGAAGAAGAAGTCCGCCCTCTACGTTCTAATTACAGCCTTCGAACAAAGAGATCGGTAACAAAACGGTTTGAAGTTCCCATAGAGCCAGTACATCAAAAGAAAAAAAAGAAATCTTTGTTTGACAGTGTACCATGCTCCCCATACAGAAGATATCGGCACAAAGCAGGACCGTCGACACCAGTAAGAAGTCCGGTCAAAAGGTAAATATATAGTCACTTATTTTCGAAAGATGGTTATGTAGGATTTGAGTCCTGTTGCCTTCTAATCCCAAGACTCCACTAATATGTGACTAGCTGTGGCAAAACCAGACGTTTGTTGGAATAAACAATTTAAAAAATTGAGTTTTTTGGGAATCTTTATGAATTTTTCTTTTTTTATTTGATAGAAATTGATTGAGTATCATTAGGTTTGCAAAATTATGAATATTTAATTCATTGGATATCAGATATGTAGGATTAGAGAAAAGAGCTTCCAAAGATTCCAAAATTAATAATTTATTATTATGGTTTGTATTTGAAAAATAATGTTAATATAGTCCTTGGTTAGATTTAGTGATTAATATTTTGCAGAATTGAAAATGTTCAAAAATCTGATTCTCGAAAGTTTTGGATGGTTGTGCAAAATTAGAAATTATAACAAATGGCAGGTTATGCCAGATTTGTTCATTTTATTTTGTTTTAATATTAATATCATTAAGAATATCTTTATTATTACTTGGTAACAGTAAAAAGTGAAAATGTTTGTGGTTTTTTTATATATTAAACATTTAAATAGAATATTGGTTGAATGTATTTTCCTTTTGTATTTTGTGTAGAATGAGGCGACGTCATGCTACGCATAATCGATCTTCCACCAGTTCGGACTCTTCCAGTGATGAACGAAGATTTGAACGACGGAAAAAGAAAAGTATGGCAAAATCTAGGATGAGGTGAGAATCATGTTAAATTAGTTAATTAAACCTTCAAAAATATATTGTTATTATAGTGGAGAGTCAGATTAGCCATGGTAAACAGGATTTTTATGTTAATGGTCCAAGTTCTATTAAGTCCTATTTTGTATTACATTAGTAAACTAAAAAAATTGTAAGTAAATTTTTATATACATGATTATTACATCTTCAAAATTTGAACAAGAATCTTATTTAAGCATTTTAATTGATTATATTTAATTCATTAATAAATTGGTAATTATTAAATATCTTAGTAACTAATTATATTTCAACAGATGTCTTCCTATGAACCTTCTACCTGAAGATGTTACTGGTGTGATGAAAGATCGTCAAAAGATTGGTAGCAGTTTAGCAGACATTGATCCAATGACTATTGACGCCTCGGTAAACTTTTTTCCCGCAATATTACCCATAGAAGCTTGCTTTCAATCAAAAGGTGGAGGTCTCACCTCAAGTTGGCCACCTGTTTGTGTGACTTTAAATGATAAAAATTCTGGTTGTGGGTACATTATGTAGAGGAAGTGGTATGTTAATGGTGCATAAAGTAATCCAATATTTTGAGGAACGTGAGCCAAATTGTATACACTGGGCCTTCGGTTTTTAGTCCTTATCTGAGAAGACTTGATCTACCACCAGAATCATAGGCGAGCGTGCCCTTCGAACCAGCGCCGATAATATGGCTGTAGGTGCGGCGCCCCTGCACTAACCTCTCGACTATCCAACTCCAGTAATTCTTGTAACATTAGTTGGTGCATTAATTGTCAGTGCATTTTCATAAACATAGCAATGTGTATTGGTAACAACAATTCAAATCCTGAAAAAGAATAATTTGAGATGGAATCTTGTTATCTCCCAATTTAGGTCACGTTTGAGAGTGTTGGTGGACTTGGCAAACACGTACAGGCCCTCAAGGAAATGGTGGTCTTCCCTCTACTCTACCCAGAGGTGTTTGAAAGGTTCAAAATCACCCCACCCAGAGGTGTGCTTTTCCACGGTCCACCGGGGACAGGCAAGACCTTAGTGGCAAGAGCTCTAGCAAATGAATGTCGACAAGGTGATAAACGAGTTGCGTTCTTCATGAGGAAAGGGGCAGATTGTCTAAGCAAGTGGGTTGGAGAATCTGAGAGACAATTGCGTCTTCTGTTCGATCAGGTTAGTCTAAAGTCCTCCAATAGTATGTCTTAAAATTCTAACCATTAAGGTGTGGTATCCAAGTGTAAAGGTGGAAAAGAATCGAACAGCAAAGAAAATGCTGCAACAGGCGTCAGCCTGATCAAACTGAAAGGGCGAAAAAGGATCCGAAGATAAACATAAAACTATCAGAGATAAAAATTTAAACATCCTGTAGTCTGCATTGAGTTATTGGTTGTGATACAATTAATATACAACCATATCCTTTCAAACACAATTCATTCTCATGGTATGTATATTTATTTAAAAATTTACAAACATGCAGTATAAATTAAATAAGGGTTTAAATAAGATTTGCCAAATATAACATTGTAGTAAGAACTAAATTGCGTTATATTTAAAAGCAAAAAAAAAGTTCTCATTAAAAAACCAATACTTAAAAGCAAAAATCACTGGACAATAATTACATTCATAAATAGTAAACATAAAAATGTTATTATTATTATTATTATTATTATTATTATTATTATTATCATTAATAAATATATACTCATAAATAGTAAACATATTATTATCATTATTATTATTATTATTATTGTTATGACCATCACTTATTATTAAACAATATACACTGATTCACTTAAGTTCATTAAAGTATGTAACTTAGAAATATCGGGAAAATGCTGAAAATTCTTCAATTTTTGAGAAAATTTATATCTGCGTCTGCTTTTTCCACCTTCTTAATGAGTTCCTCAAGCAGTCTAAGGTCTTGCTTTGTGATCGTACGGGTCTGTGTAGTATCACTTAAGTATTATTACAATTAAAAAGTAAAATTAACTTAAAGTAAGAAGATTTAATAGTTGTAGTTCATATTTTTTTGTTTCTTTTTTCAAGGCCTACACAATGCGCCCATCAATCATCTTTTTCGACGAGATTGATGGCTTGGCTCCTGTACGGTCCAGCAGACAAGATCAGATTCACAGCTCTATTGTCTCGACACTCTTAGCTCTTATGGATGGTCTAGATAGCCGAGGAGAAATTGTTGTCATAGGGGCCACAAATCGAATTGATTCCATTGATCCAGCCTTGAGACGGCCTGGCCGGTTTGACCGAGAGTTTCTTTTTCCACTTCCATCAAAAGAGGTAGGACTTAGAATTTAATATTATTTTTCTTTCTTGATTAGAATTCAGTTGTTGTTTCATGCTACATTAAATTTACATATTGATGTTCTTATCATTTTTTGTTTGTTTTATGTTCCTATTCTGCTAGCCTATTGCCTTTGAAAAAAGAATTTTAGAATTTTGAAAGGACATAAGTGATATATTTTTGATGTGTGTTAGACCTTTTTAAGTTTTGTGAATGTAAATTATTTATATTTTTCCTCATTGTATACTAATAAAACTGAGGTAGCAAATTTGACATGCAAAATTGAATCTTGAATATCAGTGTACATACTATAATACTGTTGGATTAAAAAAAAGGTAAAGGTAGTAGAATAACCCATAACTCGCAGCGTCATTGTGAATGAATGAATTGTGTATGGGCGTGGTTCGTGACTACCTAGTGGCTGTAAAGAGGCACTTATAGTAGCTACATGTTCTCATCACTCCACAATGACAGGGGCTGAAATAAACCATAGCATTGGGGTAACCCCCTACGGTTCCGAAAGATGCAATGGGCTCTTTTAAGTGCATACAAGCCAGTTGTGTACGCTGGACCTTCATTTTAAGTCTTTATCCAAGAAGACTTGTTCTACCAACCGAACCCTGGGCGAGGAGCGACTGATATCAGCGCCTGATGTTAAGGCTGAAGTTAGCGGTGCCCCTGCCTTACCGCTCAGCCACTCAACTTGCCAAAATGGGATGGGCTGGAGTCAAAAATATTACATAGGTTCTTGCCTGGAGCCTAGAGACAAGCTCAGAGTAGGACCTAGACTTGGTTGATTTTGGTGTAGAAAATGTAGCATTATATTTATTTTTATATTTAACTCATATTTCTGATGGTGTTTGCATCAGGAGATTTAATAGGAATGAGATCGGATTCAACACTAACCACTATGCACAAACTTGGTGGTCTAGTTAGTGGTTATGACACCAGGCTAGTTATCTGTATGTTGTGGGTTCGATTCCCATCTAAATCACTTGGCAAGTTTTTTAACAAGTATCTTGGAACATACTTAGCATTCAGTACGATAACACGTTTAAGTAGGGCAAAACATCCTTCCTAACTCATATTATATTATTATAATTTTTTTTAGGCTCGTAGTCAAATTTTAGCAATCCAAACCAAAGAGTGGAACCCAAAATTATCAGCAATGTTCATCAATGAAGTTGCGGAGAAGTCCGTTGGTGAGTATTCATTGTTATCAACTTTTACAGTGTTTAATAAATCAGCATTTTAAGCCTTCATCAGTATATGCCATGCCAGCTAGTGTAAGGGATTGCATGGGAGTTCTTGCTTTTGAAATTACACTCCTTTCACACTAAATACTAATATATTGAATACTTGCCTAAAGAAATAAATTTTTACACATTAAACTGAGAATTGTACCATACTTTTAATATTTTTATATGACATTTTAAATTTGTGGAATTGTGTTAAATTAGGAATGGTTGTTTGTGAATGCTTTATACTTTTAATATATTTTTGTTAAAATTATTCATTTAAATTGTGTGAATTTTAGTTCAGGTGTATGAGAACCACTTTTTGAGAAAATCGGCCTCAAAGATAAACTAACCTGTACAAATAATAGGACTAGAATTACAGAACATGTGCAGAGAACACTGTTTTAATAAGAAAATTCACTCAATCATAAAATATAGTATCAAGTTATTTAAAAACATTAAAATCAACATTTTGTAAAAATTTTGACTTCGATCTTTTTTGGTGAATATCTCAATATGATTTCACGAACGATGTGTCTCATGTCGTGGTTACATTAAAAAATGTATTATTATTATTATTATCATTATTGTTATTATTATTATTATTATTATTATTATTATTATTATTATGTTACTAAAACCTACCTTATGGGGAAATTAGACAATGGAGAAATTAGAGAACAATAAAAAAAGTGAAGTTATGGGGAAAATAACACCTAAGATATTCCCCTTAAGTCCGATTTAGTGAAATAATAATAATCATTATTATTATGATTACAGTTGAACTAAGTTGAATTCAAAATGCCATTGAAATATTGTTCGACTTGGATAAAATTCGACTTTCAGATTGTTAAATAATGGAATAAACAACAATTTGTCATGTAAAATTAGATTGACTTAGAAATTATTCAACTTAGGCAAGTTTAACTGTATTATTATTATTTTTATTATTATTATATTATTTAGTTGTTTTTATTCTTAGGTTATTGCGGTGCTGATGTCAAGGCATTATGCACAGAGGCAGCATTGCAAGCTCTTCGTCGACAGTACCCACAAATCTATGCATCCAAAGAGAAGCTGCAATTGGATCTGACCCAGATCCAAATCACCGCCCGAGACTTTCACCACGCTATGCAAATTATCGTACCAGCTTCACAGCGAGCAGTCAGTTCTCCTGGTCGTTCCCTATCAGCAGTTGTTAGACCATTGCTGGAGTGTACCCTACAACAGCTGATAGACTTGGCCCATAGGGTCTTCCCAGACTCGTTAAAAAAGAGGTCCAGTCTTGATATGAAAGGCAAGATGATTTTAATTGCTTGAAACTTTATTAGATTATATATATTTTAATGTGGTTGTTGTAGTGTCAAGCAATCATATTTGTAGCTCCTAACCTGAGTTAACAGGAATTTTTTCTGGCATTTCTCTTGCATTTAAAATAGGTAGGTTCCTCTTAAAAAACTAGAAATTTTCATAAAAATTGTAGAATCTATATCCCCCCTGAAGGATGAACAGCGGGGTAGTATTGTTTCCAGGAGTCCCCCAGCCTTTGCATGAGGGTTGGAACATATAGATTATCATAAAAGCATTCAACAGTAATGAAGTGCATAATGTATTTATATATATTTTTAAAATAATTACAGGTTCGTCCGAGGCATCAAGTGTTGCCATGGCACTCTTGAATGATGATGAATATAGCGATGATGATGCTCCTAGCATCTATGACAACCCAAAATCTTCAGGTCGAAGGTCAACAAGTGAAATGAATGGACCAATCAGCCCTTTTCTCAACTTTGCCTTGTAAGTTAATTTTACTTTGATTCTTTGAACTGCAAATAGCTTATAATTTCTCATACCACATGTAATTTTAATGTTCATTTGTATGTTGCGTTGAAAAAGGACACCGCCAAAATCTAACTAATTGATTGATTGATAGATATTTGAGTGATTGATGTTTTTTTTTACAGATCAGCCTATAATACCCCCTCAACGTACCAACCTCGAATCTTAGTCACAGGCCATAGAAACCTAGGCCAGAGTTCACACTTAGCACCTGCTTTACTACACCACATGGAGCATCTTGCAGTCCACTGCCTTGACCTACCTGCCCTCTACGCTGTCACTGCAAAATCACCGGAAGAATCATGTGCTCAGGTAAAATGTGCACTTATCGTCTGCATTAATCCATAGTTTAGTAACTAGAGGCAGAAGGTGTGGGGTCACTGAAATTCAAATGAGGAAGGGATTCATGCTTTAGAGAACATAGCATAAGGGACCATTACTGCACAGGTTTCGAAGTTCCTCAAAATGCTCTCAGCAAATAGCTGCTGCGGGCTGTGGCTTTACTACAGCAATTTATTCTTCTACAGCCACAAGCTTCGTAAATTGTTTTAAGAATACCATAGGCCTATTCTATAAAAGTAATCTGTGTAGTCCATTGCTATGTCTGGTTCAGGCAACTCAACAGCAAAAAGCTTGCTGTCGAGCCTGGGATTTACAACAGCTGTGTAAGGCCCTTTCTACAGCAATTGCTGTTGGCACTATGGGAAACATTCTCTGACTGCATATTCAAATTAGTATAAAAGTTAGCAATCTTAACAACTTCTTTACAAATGTGCATATATGTACTATGTAAACATTTAGTAACTTTATTACTGTTTTCAGAGGATCCAAAATATTTAGCTATATCAATAAACTGCCCTCTAAAAGTTTTATTAAACTTAATAATAATAATAATAATATAAGAATTTATAAAGCGTCAATCAAACGACTGATGTGCATTATCACTTATTTATCTTTAAATAATAAAAAAAAAAAACTGGTTACAAATCTTAAATTTAATGGTGATGAATATAGGTGTTTCGTGAAGCTAGGCGTACTTGTCCGTGTGTAATCTACATGCCCCATGTTGCCCAGTGGTGGTTGGCTTGTAGTGAAACAATGAAAGCAACGTTTTTAACACTATTGGAGGATCTACCATCTACGACACCAATCCTGTTGTTGGCTACTTCAGAAGCATCTAAGGAAGACATGCCAGAAGAGGTAAGATACCAGGCTATTTACTATATTTTGTTATTTTTATATTGTTTATTGAAATGTTGTGAAATTTGAAGTTCAAGCTGACAGTAACCCTTCTTCAGTTCAATACTATAATTTAAGTTCAACAGTAAATTAATATGGACAGTTTTTTCCATTGGTTAAACATTTAAAAGTAAAAGAAACTGGGCTTAGGTGTTTAAGTGTTTTATTTAATGGATCTTCCAATGTGTTACAGTCAATAAAGCAAATTAATTTGGCCAATCAAAACATGCTATTTAGTAAATAAGTATATATTTAATACATGTCCTACAAATGTAGCTTAACCATTTTAATAATGACATGTTTTTCATAAATTGTTGATTTTTTAAATCATTTTTTGTTTTTAATTTTTAATTCTAATTTTTATATTGTTTATTGAAATGTTGTGAAATTTGAAGTTCAAGCTGACAGTAACCCTTCTTCAGTTCAATACTATAATTTAAGTTCAACAGTAAATTAATATGGACAGTTTTTTCCATTGGTTAAACATTTAAAAGTAAAAGAAACTGGGCTTAGGTGTTTAAGTGTTTTATTTAATGGACCTTCCAATGTGTTACAGTCAATAAAGCAAATTAATTTGGCCAATCAAAACATGCTATTTAGTAAATAAGTATATATTTAATACATGTCCTACAAATGTAGCTTAACCATTTTAATAATGACATGTTTTTCATAAATTGTTGATTTTTTAAATCATTTTTTGTTTTAATTTCAGCTTAGTGAATTATTTACCACCCAATTCAGAGTTCGATATCCAATTGAAGCAGAAAGAAGAGAGTTCTTCCGAGACTTGATAATCCACCAGGCTGCAAGAGCGCCCCCTAGGAAAAAGAAAGCTGGTAAGATATAGTTTACTTAGTTTGCTAGATTAGAACAATGAACTCTGGGGTTGGAAGGCGAGTCTCTTGAGCCGCTACAATAATATAACAATAATATGTTAGAATTACATAGCGCTTAATGCCAGTAAGGCCTCTAAGCGTTTCACAATATTACTCCCGGTCACTGGATCAAGCACATATGGAACACATACTCAGCTCAGAGAATTTGATAATGTTGCAGCTGTAATCAGCACATTTTGTGTTTGATTCTACCAGGTACTCACTTGTACTCCTGGGTGGAGAGAGACAACTGTAGCTAAAGTGCCTTGCCTAAGACACAAGCAAAATGCACAGCGAGGGATTGAACCTTTGACCTCAAGGTTGAGAAGCAGAACCGCAGCCGCTGCACCAAACCGCTCTTAACTACACTAAAGCCCTGTGCAGTCTATCAGATTTTGTGTGTCATCACACCATTGCCATTTATAGGTATATCATGACTATATATGGGCATAAATCTGATAATCTGACTGAGCTTTAGTTTAGGAGCATGAAATATATCATGATTCTGAGCATGGCAACAGTGGTGGTGGCAATAATTTTGGTTAAAAAAATATATTTTTTTAATAATATATTTTTTTCAAAATTTTTCAAATTATGTTGCAGTAATTCATTTAATTTATAATTATATAACATTATTAAGTATTTTCATTTTATTGCTATTTATTTTGTATAATGTTCTTATTACCAATTGAATGTCAACAATTTTAAATATTTAAATATTACTTTCAGCATCAAGGGCATTAATAGAGTTGCCAGTTGCTCCACCGCCTGAACCCAAGAGGATAAACCAGGCAGAACTGGAACGACTAGAAAAATTTGAAGAGACTCAACTCAGAGAATTACGATTATTTCTCCGTGATGTGGTGTCAAGACTTGCCAAAGAAAAGAAGTTCAGAGTGTTCTCACAACCAGTAGATCCAGAAGAGGTGATGCTTTTGTTGTTTAATAATAGTAAATCAATTATTGAGGTGTTAATTTTTGTTTGTATTTAAAATGTAATCCAGGAATGGTTAGTACAAACCTGTCATGGTCTACTGTATCAGAAATAAGTTGAAGAAATGTTAATTCAAATTAATACAAATTTTTTTAGCTAATATGGGGCTTGCCATGCCAAAACCGGCGAGCAATCCAGAAAATTTACTTTTTAATATATTCATATTCATTCATTTGGCTGCGGAACAGGTGACCAAAAGATTTCTCCAAGCACCACAATCCATGGCAAGAGTGACAATTTTATCTGGTTGTCACCTAATAGTCTTTGTACATAGGATAGGTAATGGTAAATGTACATAGGTACCATATTCAATTTCTTCACATTATAGGCTTTTAAATGATGGGTCATTTACTGGAATCTACTTACTATTGCCAAAGTTATGAGTAAAGGTATTACAGCTTCTCTGTACTAAAGTATACAATACTGTCACATTCTTATGCTAATTCCTCAGTTTAACATTAGTGACAATACTATGGTTTTGGGATGGCAAGCCTCATATGTAATTGTGTACATAATTTTTTTGCATATTTGAAAATGGAAACCCAATACTCAGGTCTCATCAAAGTATAGATATTCAGTTATTAAAAATCACTTAAACAGTATAAGGCAGGTGTAAATCTAAGTTTTATATAAAATTGTTATTACAATTTTCTAGGTGCCAGATTATGCAGCGGTAGTTAAACGTCCAATGGACCTGGCAACCATGATGTCCAAGATCAATATGAAGAAGTACACATGTGCTAGTCAGTTCTTAGAGGACATTGACCTCATCTGTAGCAATGCTCTTGAGTACAACCCAGACAGAGATCCATCAGGTTAGGCTATGAAAATGCATTTACTAGGCTCCTGTCTCCAGTTATGTATCTATTAACAAAATACCCTCATGGGTTTTTAAAAAATAAATTTCATTTTTAAGTACTGTATTAATATTTATTTTACGCTTTTACGTTTCATTTCTGTCCAGACAAAATTATCAGGTTCAGAGCATGTGAGTTGAAGGACACAGCTCATGCAATCATCGATGTTGAGATGAACTCAGATTTTGAAAAAGCATGTGTTGACATCATGGATTCCAGGAAAAGAAGAGGTACATTATTATTGTAGTTATTATATTTACCGATTATTGGTATTGTTAAAGGTTTAAGCTGTTTATATGTACATTAATCGGTTTGTAGTGCAATTGCATACAACAAGAACAACCAAAAAAAGTTCCCCAAAAATGAAGTATGAAAATTTGTTTATTTAAAAAATAAATTATTTTGGTAATACAGGTATTAATAATAATACGATATTGAAATTTTGGAAAACTGTAATAACATCATTAATATTAGCTCCCATTCATTTGTCATGAAAATTGCTTTTAAAATTTTTTCTATATTCTACTTCCCTAAATCCTAAAAAAAAAAATACATTTTTATTATTTAATTCTATCTTTTAGTGGACTTTTTGGTGAATTTGGTTGAAATTCATTTTTTTCATTACAGGAGATAGTCCTACTAAGCATATACCAGACTTTTTCAGAGTGTTACCTAAACCAAAGACCCCAGTAAATCGGTTGATCAATAATACACGCACTCATTCACCAGCATCTCAGGACACCCCTACTATGTCTGATGTGTTTACAGATGAGTTTGAATTTAGAAGCGGTTCAGTACGACGTAAACAAAAAAGACGGTCTACCTGGGCACGGGGGTTTATTGCAAAAAAGAAGCGCAAATTAAATCAGAACGATAAAAAGGATGACACAACAAACGATGAAAAGGAATTTGAGGAAAAAGATAATTTGGATGAACATTGTAAAGACGTTACCCTCGATGAAGGGGACACAGAAGAGGATCGCCCTCACAGGACACGTTTTAGAAATCTCCGTAGACCATCTATCCTCAGTCCTACAAAATCACTCAGGGAAAATAAGGACGTTAGTGCAAATACGAACAGGCATAATGTGTGTGAAAATGGCATAGCCGAAATTGAAAAGAATAATGTGGAAATTTCATCAACTTTGTCACATTCCAGTGGTGCTGGTTCACCTGTAATTGAAGCACCTGTAGTTGAGCCACCTGCGCTGCAGCCACCTGTGCTTGAACATATTCAAACCGATAGAGTTGAATCAAATAAATCTGACAGGAATTCTCCATTATTGCAAGAATCAAATGAAGGATGTACTGAAAGAGATGAGTTAAGAACGGAAGAGAAGACTGTAGAAAACAATGAAGAGGAGGAAGATATTGAACATGGTAAGTCTAGTGGAATATCTTTCAACTTTCATTTAATTTAATAATATATTTTAACCTAGCAAATAAAATGTACTATTCTACAAATGTTGTGATATTTTAATTTTACTATACTATATTTCTTTCACATCCAACTCACCAATGTTAGGATGGAATGATGCTTTGTGAACTGAGTTTTTAGTCATTTGAACCCTGGACCCAGTAATTGGAAAGTAAGCATCTTAAGAAATTCAGCTTCACTCCAGATGAAACTTACCAGATCATTATTCAAATTAACATGTATTGCTGAGAGCTTAGCTATACTCCCAATTATGGCTTGATATATTATGATTAATGGTCAAATATGAATGTCATTTTTTGAGCAGAAATCTATGGTTTCTCAATATCAACTATAGTCACCTCCCGGGCACGGGTTTAGCCAAAATAAAGAAATAGGCCATCCAAAATGGAAGACAAAGAACCGAGCAGGGGTGGGTGGTATTTGCTAAAGGTAAACCAGGCCCAACTAGGCTAGGCCAAGCTGTCCAAGCCGTGACAGTAAAAGTGGCGGTCATAAATAATTGTTGGCCGTCCAAAAGATGTCCGGATGGCTCGCTGGCTAAGCCCTTGCTTCCGGGTGACTTGTGAGTCTTGAATGTTGTCAGACATTGCAGGAGTGTTTGAAGAACAAATCAGAAACACCTAATAAGGTACACATTTCTGGAAAATTAAAAATTGGTGTATAGAATTTTTAGTAACAAACATTTTTTCCAGAGCTTGGCTTTAAGCAGTTATTTTTTATTGTATGACAAAAATTTGTTTTAAATTTATTCAAGGATTTGATTCAATTTGAATCAAGAAAGAAAACTTATTATCTTTTTTTGTGTGTGTTTTTTTAGTCACACCGATATCAGTGCGTATGACAAGGTCTCGTGGGGCAAGTAAAACAGCACAGAGGGCGCTAGAGATTTTAGAAGAGCCATTGCCACCTCTGGTTGTTGACCATAAGAAGTTACAGGTATTTATGTAAAGTTTTAATTTTCAATTTTGTTATGCTTAATTATTTGATTTACCGGTATCTTCGAAAATCACAGAAGCTGAAACTTTATAATATAATAATTAATAAATGAATAACTGTATAAAACCTTTTGAGGTTTATAATCTCAATTAGTGTTAATATATATTCTGTCTCTAATTATAACCAATTTAAATAAAATCCAATGCTATTACATAATTATAACCAATTTAAATAAAATCCAATGCTATTACATTTATCACATGTATTTGTTTTGTTTTTAGGAGCTGTTAGAATTAACTGTCACCCTGACGACAAACTTCACTGTGAGCAGGCTTGAAAGGCTGCACAGCGCCCTCAGTCAGTGTATCTACCTCCACCGTAAGGATTATGATAAAACAAACTTAACTAAGGTGAGTGGTTTTATGGTGGTCTGTTCTCTAGTGCGTTGCCGTTCATATAACATGGAAACATTCGCCTTTAAAAAAAGAATAAGCAGGAGCTTATGACAAAAAAAAAATTCTTGTGTTGGGAAAATTAAAAAAATTGGTAGTTCGATAAGAAAAGTTTTTTTTTTTTTAATGTGTTTATGCCTAAAAAGTAGAAAATACACAAAAATACAACAAAAACCATTTTAAAATCTATATTGAGCAAAATGGCCGCATAACACTGTCACTTCGCCTACCGTCAATCAAGATAGGCATATTCCAGCCTTTTTAGCTCATTAAAAAATATTAAAAAATATTTTTTGTTGTAGTTAAAAAAAGGAAGGGAAAAAAAAAAACTAAAATGCCGAACATCAATTTCGTACATTTTAGGTCAGTCGGGCGTGACCAACACAATAATTTTGTTTTATTTGGCCTTACCGTGGAAGGGAATAATAATAATAATAATAGTGAACATTTATAATGCCCCTTATAATTATCTGGCACATGCATAAGGACCTTGAGCACTTTAGTGGAGATGTGCGCTTAATAAATCTTATTATTATTATTATTAATGTGGAATATCATGTACAGTAAGCCCTATCAATTTCAACTTTATTAAATTATTCTCATAATTTTTTACACTTCTATGTACCTGCCCCCCCCCCTCCCCTTTGATGTATGTTCTTTACCAGAAACTCACTCTCTAACAAAAAAAAAAAGTATTACTTATTTTTGTAATTTTAGGCTATGGAGAATGTAATCCGGAAACTAGACACATGATGTTAACAGTATTTTGAAAGATTGGAATTATAGTGGATTTTGCATATCTAACCTCTTCACCCAAGATATGAACAGAAGAATTCATTGTAGTTTATGAGAGGGTATGGTGAGAGGTACTGTATTCAAGAGGTGTGAGTCTACTGTCGACAAGTTAATGCTATCAGTGTAAATTCTCCTATATTCTTTTTGCTCACTAAATTATTTTAGATTAATTGAGATACTTTTTCGTTGTTGCTGTAGTGTCACTTTGTATTTAAGGTGAAGAGTGAAAGCCTTCTCAAACAAGGGGAAATTAACATTAAGGGTGTCTGAGTGTTTTAAAAGTGCAAATGCAATTCACTAAGTGTAAAATTTAAACAAAATCTCAAAAATACCCCTTAAGAAAATTTATTTTGAAAGTTGCTGTAAGGAACAGCACTATAAACTGTTTTATAGTCATATATTGAATTAAGAATTAACTGAATTAAGAACTACAAACATTAATAATGTTTATTTTCTATTTTTTTGCTGTGAATGTTAGCATTTTGTGATGTTTATGTTTTGTTTCTGATACTTAATGAATTTTGAAATCAGTCCTATTATAACTATGGTAATAGTTTTAAATTTATATCTGATAAACAAAACATCATAATTATAGAGCCCATGATACAACAGTACTTAAAAAGACCAAAATCACACCTCAACCAAGTCTTTGACATCTATTGATAATTTGTGGCCGTACTGCTCATTAAAAAATATTTGAAAATATTTTTCGTTGTAGTTAAAAAAAAGAAGAAAAAAAAACTAAAATGCTGAACATGAATTTCGTACATTTTAGGTCAGTTAGGCTTGACCAACACAATAATTTTGTTTTATTTGGCCTTACCGTGGAAGGGAATAATAATAATAATAATAATAATAGTGAACATTTATAATGGCCCTTATAATTATCTGTCACATGCATAAGGACAACGTGGAAGTAAGTAATGTATCATGTGGAAGTAAATAATGTGTCATGTACAGTAAGCCCTATCAATTTCAACTTTATTAAATTATTCTCATAATTTTTTACACTTCTATGTACCTGCCCCTCCCCTTTGATAATAATAATTATTAAAGGTAAGAACTTATATAGCACCATTAAAAAAACCAAAGTAATTATCAGTGGCGCTTCATGTTATTGTTGGAATGAGTTCGTTTTGAGTGATTTTTTAAATATGTATGTTCTTTACCAGAAACTCACTCTCTAACAAAAAAAAACAAAAAAATATTACTTATTTTTGTAATTGTAGGCTATGGAGAATGTAATCCGGAAACTAGACACATGATGTTAACAGTATTTTGAAAGATTGGAATTAAAATGGATTTTGCATATCTAACCTCTTCACCCAAGATATGAGCAGAAGAATTCATTGCAGTTTATGAGAGGGTATGGTGAGAGGTACTGTATTCAAGAGGTGTGAGTCTACTGTCAACAAGTTAATGCTATCAGTGTAAATTCTCCTATATTCTTTTTGCTCACTAAATTATTTTAGATTAATTGAGATACTTTTTCGTTGTTGCTGTAGTGTCACTTTGTATTTAAGGTGAAGAGTGAAAGCCTTCTCAAACAAGGGAAAATTAACATTAAGGGTGTCTGAGTGTTTTAAAAGTGCAAATGCAATTCACTAAGTGTAAAATTTAAACAAAATCTCAAAAATACCCCTTAAGAAAATTTATTTTGAAAGTTGCTGTAAGGAACAGCACTATAAACTGTTTTATAGTCATATATTGAATTAAGAATTAACTGAATTAAGAACTACAAACATTAATAATGTTTATTTTCTATTTTTTTGCTGTGAATGTTAGCATTTTGTGATGTTTATGTTTTGTTTCTGATACTTAATGAATTTTGAAATCAGTCCTATTATAACTATGGTAATAGTTTTAAATTTATATCTGATAAACAAAACATCATAATTATAGAGCCCATGATACAACAGTACTTAAAAAGACCAAAATCACACCTCAACCAAGTCTTTGACATCTATTGATAATTTGTGGCCGTACTAAGCACAACAACAACTGTGTTTTGAAGTCTTCCATTACACTACTGGTCTTAAAAATTATTAACTTGGACTTAACCTGTTATCAGATAATACTGTTGAATACTAATTTCATATAGCAAGATTGCTAACACCTCCTATATTTCATCAAGTAATTCTATTGTCCCAAAAACTGATCAAAAAGCAAGGTTGTAGGACTACTTAAACAAGTATGATAAAAAATAAGTGGTAATATTACTACCTCAAATAATCGTTTGTACTGCACGATTTATAAAATCAATGAATTTACAGGTTTGTTGTGTTCTACATGCATTAATTGACAAAACAGAACTGTTTTCTAATAAAATTTACTGTTATTTCAGGGATCTGCCATCAATTTCTTAGTTATTTTGTAGTTGTTAGTATTTAACTTATGGTTTTTGAATTTTCTTTTCTTTTTTATTTTCTTCATGTTATTAAGAGAAGAATTTTGATAAAATAGAGCCTCCCTCAACAACTGTAAAACATAATTTCAGTACTAATGATAATTATAAAAACTAGAGGTGTCTTACTTAAGTAGCCTGAAGGTTTAGTAAGGGTTGTCCACAATCATCAACAATTTCTGTAATGAATCTGGGTTACATTACTTGGGGAAGGGGTATAATTCCCCTTATCCTCAACTTTTTTGCCATCTCTCCAATGCCTGTACACTTCTGAAATCTTGATAATTATGAATAGCCCATGGTAACCCAATTCAGTAGTTATTTGCTTCTTTTTTTAAGGTTCGTACTGAAACTGGTCATATAAATTATAAGTTGAAACTGAAGTACACTTGCTGCAAAATATATAATGAATTTATAGCAAACAAAATAATATGTGTTATCAAAACTCATTGGCTCTTGCAATGTCATTAATGTTAGTAAGCCATGCATCTCTCCTATTTGTGAAGTTTCTGAAGAGGGTGTGAAATATGTGCTGCCCTCGCTCTGCAAAACATCTTGATTTAATTCACTCAGGAATTTATAATGCTGCATACATGCTGTTCTGTTGACGTCTCTATACAACATGATGCTGCAATTGCCTGTGTATGTATGCAACATGATTCTGCTGGGCGTGGTTCCCAAGTCTGTATGATGTAACAGCAAGTGCAACACACAGGCACTAATGCACTTCAGTACTCCTATCTTAAATCTTCTAAAAATCATAGTTTTAAACATTATGCTAACAAGACAGGTTTCCTGATACACCTCTGGTTGGTGGGCCATTCCATAACCATCGCACCCACTACCTTCTTCACCTTGAAAGGTTTAGTCTGATACGCATCCAACAAGTCAACTAAAAATTCACGTGAAGAATTTGCATTGAAAAGTGTAATTTAACTATGATTTGTGCATGATGGGATAGCATTTTAATATACAGTATTGTTTGCTCAGAACTTGTATTGTGTAAAAATATGGTTTTTAGAAGCTTTAAGATAGGAGTACAGTACTTAAGTGCATTTGCGCCAGTGCGAGTATGATCTGTGTTTCCAAACTAATGTATGCTGCATGTATGGTGTATGTATGTTTAAGCATTTGCTTGGCATTCCATCAATGGCTTCATCTTACCAGGGATATTATATATTGTTCATATTTGTCTGCATTTTCAAGTGTGAAATATTTGCCATTGAGATACCTTCTCATTCCAAGATCCTTCTTTTGTATAAATTGTACAATAAATGAGAGTGGTGGTATTTGCTTAACTTGTGTCTTTTACTTCTTGTCTCCAATCCTGTTTTCAAGTAGGCTGTATACTAAACCTATCCTATGCAAAGGTGCAGATCTGTTTTAAAAGGTTGGGTGAGGGGGACATTTTGTGAGACCACACCCACCTTAGCCCCACCATGGTCAGGGCTGAGGTGTGAAAATGTGAGGAAATAGTACTCTCTAGATGACTGGAAATGACACTCGTATTATAGTCAAATTCATCATCACATCACCATTATAGTAAAAATTAAGTGCCAACACATTTCTCATGATCATTTATCAGTGATTTTCGGCAACCACAGAGGTATAATTAATATTTGTGATGTACCATAGAAAATAAAACTTTAAAGCATTGTCTTTGATGTATTCACTTTACCTACTTCAAACCGCGAGTCCTGAGACCCACCATGGTTGGGGCTTAGGTGGGAAAATAGTACCTCTAAATGGCCGGAAATGACTCTAATTTCATCATCACATCACCATTATAGTCAAAATGAAGCGCCAACAAATTTCTCATGATCTTTTACAAGGGATTTTCGGCAAATCATAGGGATCTAAATATTCTGTCTGATGTACCATGGTTGGGTCTGAGGTGCGAAAATTTGAGTAAATTGTACCTCTAGATGGCTGGAAATGACACTAGTAAAATCCATCATCATCACATCACCATTATAGTCAACATGAAGTGCCAACAAATTTCTCATGATCTTCCATTTTCGGCAATCATAGAGATCTAATTCATCTATCCATGTACCATAGAAACTGAAACTTAATTTTATATATTTTTTTTACATCTAGGCTAGACTTTTTATTCCTTGTTTCACTTATTTTTTTGAAGATTATCGGAGGAAGGCGGAATTAAAATAAACATAAAATTTTTTTTTCTAATTTAGCAAATAGTTCTGCCAAAATCATCCAGATGGAGGATAAAATAAAAATAAAATTTTATTGGTGAATGTAAATTAGGATGGTTAAATACTTTGGAGATTTCAAGGCAGTGGAGGGCATAATAAAAATAAAGGTAAACTTTTAGTTTTTAATGATATTTCCACTTTTTCATGACGGCGGTGCACTAATTGGTCAAAAATAAAATTGTATTTTTATTCGAAATCATTAATCGGCAGGTTTGCTAAACAAGGTATAAAAAAGGCTCGCCCTACTCAACTCATCCACTACGTAAAGCGCTTGTAATTATTTGTTCATATTTGTAATTCCCATCGTCAGTTCTACTTGCTGTATTTATAACATTTACCTATATGGTAAATTTAGTATTCAATGCCCAATAATATTACGGGCTTATCATTCTGCGCTATATAGGTATACATTACATTTATATCCAACAATGTTTTCTTTACATTGTGCTATAATTTTATGTAGTATGTTGACTATGAGGCGCCAAGTGTAAATTTATTATTTAACACAATTATTTATATATAATTCATTATTTAACATATAATTGAATAGATTACCAATTATTTATATATGATGCGTTTACGTCTAAAACATTATATATAAATAATGGCGTTAACATTTTCATTATTTATATATAATTAGTGTACTGATTTCATTATATTTAAATAATGAAAGGGCAACCAAACATTATTTATATATAATAAGGTTACTGGTTTCATTATATAAAAATAAGGAAAGGGTAACAAATCATTATATATAAATAATGAAAAGTA